CCCACTGACAACGCTATCATAGTATGACTTTCTAACTTAAAAAGTGAATTATACTCTCTCCAGATATGTCAACCTGAGTTTCACAAAAATGAGTCTCACAGAAATTTAGGAGCTAGAAGAGAATTTAGAGGGCATTTTGTCCAAATGAGCAAATGAACTGGGATAAGGGTATCCCCAGGATATATGCAGCAGTGTTGGTTCTAGGTGCTATAGAATAAACCTGACTCAACTCCTAGGAGGGTCAATTTTACACAAATATTTTTGAGTAGAGATTTGACTACTAAACAAAATATTTTTACATGCCAATATGTGCTGGGGACACTTCAGATTCTTCCACTCTCTCAAATTAGAGAATAAACATTGGACAAGATGCAGAAATCTCATCTACATGAGGAGGACATGATAATTATGATGGCTACCATTTATTGAGCACTCACTGTATGCTAGACATTGTGGCTAGAGCTTTACATACATTAACTCATTTAGTCCTCATAACAGCATCAGATAATACTAATAGTGTAATTGTTTCCATTATACAGAGGAGGAAACTACGATTTTAAAAAGTGGAAAAACTTTCCCATACTCACTCAGCTAGTAAATAGCAGAGATGGTGTCTGGTCCCAGGGCTGTCTGGGATCCAAAGTCTGTGACCTTAATTGCTGCCTCAGAAATTTGAAATTGAGGCACAGGAACCTTCATCAGTCTTGAACCGGAAGAGCCTTAATTAAGTCACATATCTTTCTGTCCCTCAAGTTTTCTCAGCTATAAAATTACAACAGTACCCATCCCTTCCTTCATCATAATGAGGATCCAGAAGCTTATGGGATACATATGCTCACAGCATCCTAATTTAGAGCTGAAAAGAACGCTGATCACACAAACACTTGAACATGAATGTGTATGGCAGTCTTATTCATAAAAGCCAAAAAGTGGAAACAACCCAAATGTCCATCAATTAATGAATCAATAAACAAAATGTGTTATATCCATACAATGGAATATTCTTCAACCATAAAAATGAAGTATTGATATATGCTACAATGTGGATGAACCCTGAAAACATTATGCTAAGGGAAAGAAGTCAGTCACAAAAAGTCACATATGTATGATTCTATTTACATGAAATATCCAGAACAGACAAATCCATAGAGACAAAAAGTAGATTAGTGGTTGCCAGGGGTCAGGGTGTCAGATAGGGTGTTAGGTGGAATGAGGAGTGACTGCTAATGGGTACAGGCTTCCTTTTTTGGGGGGTGTGAAATGTTCTATTGTATACTTAGATAGTGGGGATGTACACTTTTAAAAAGTAAATGTTATGGTATATGAATTCTATCTCAATAAAGCAGTTATTTAAAAACAAAAACAAAAAAGCATGGCAGCAAAGAAATACATTTAAAAATACTTTGGACAAATAAATCAACTATACTTCAATAAAAAATACTTTGGACAAAAGCATCACAGAAATATACTACATTTTAGATATACATTTCATGCTTATAAAAACACATTATATACATTGTTAGAAAAGCATGGCCTTCTACTACTTTTGCTGGTTGTTAACTTGTCCTAGGAGAATCTTAATTCACTTCAAAGTACCCAATTCCTCTAGTTCCTGAATACCCAGTTAATAAAATGATAATAAAATGCAATCTAAACTGGCTGTTGATGGAAACCCAAGGGGCTTGGCCTGCTTAAAAAGAGAAAGGGAAAAAAAGCCGCAAAACTCACCAAGGGCCTACATTCAAGGCCAGAGAGGATAACAAGAATCTAGATCTAGTGGAAATGTTATCCTCCTATATTCCTTTGGGAACAGCTTATCAGTATTTTCTACAGAGAAATTAGGCAGAGGAACCTCAACTATAAAGATACTCCCTTAGTAAAATAACCATCAACACGGAAACATATTAACTTCATATTCTGCTTAACAAAAACACATTACCTCATTTTCATTTTAACAGTACTTGCATGAGGTACAAATTTTTACCTCCATTCTATTTATTTATTTTAAAAATTTATTTATTTTATTTATTTATTTTTGGCTGCATTGGGTCTTTGTTGCTGTGCAGGCTCTAGAGCACAGGCTCAATAGCTGTGGCACATGGGCTTAGTTGCTCCACGGCATGTGGGATCTTCCCGGACCAGTGCTCAAACCTGTGTCCCCTGCATTGGCAGGCGGATTCTTAACCACTGCACCACCAGGGAAGTCCCCAACCTCCTTTTTTTTTTTTTTTTTTTTTTGTGGTACGCGGGCCTCTCACTGTTGTGGCCTCTCCCGTTGCGGAGCACAGGCTCCGGACGCGGAGGCTCAGCGGCCACGGCTCACGGGCCCAGCCGCTCTGCAGCACGTGGGACCCTCCCGGAATGGGGCACGAACCCGCGTACCCTGCATCGGCAGGCGGATTCTCAACAACTGCGCCACCAGGGAAGCCCCCCAACCTCCATTTTAAGGATAAAGAAAGGGGGCTTCCCTGGTGGGGAAGGGGGCTCACCCTGCCTCCACAACAAGAGAAGCCACCGCAATAAGAAGCCCTTGCACTGCAACGAAGAGTAGCCCCCACTCACCGCAACTAGAGGAAGCCTGTGCGCAGCAATGAAGACCCAACGCAGCCAAAAATAAATTTAAAAAAATAATTTAAAAAAATAAGTATAAGGAAAGGGGGACTTCCCTGGTGGTCCAGTGGCTAAGACTCCATGCTCCCAGTGCAGGGGGCCCGGGTTTGATCCCTGGTCAGGGAACTAGATCCCACATGCCGCAACTAAGAATTCGCATGCCACAACTAAGAATTCGCATGCCACAACTAAAGATTCCACGTGCCGCAACTAAAGATCCCACATACTGCAACTAAGACCTGGTGCAGCCAAATAATTTTTTTTTAATAAAAAATAAAAATAAGGAAAGGGAAGCACAAACAAGGTCACCCAGTTAATGAGAAGCAGAGTCAAGATTCAACATTCCAAGCTCAGTGCTCTCGCTATGTCATATTAATATTTGCTTTCTCTGGCCACCTATCTTTCACCAGATCAGAAAGCAGAGTTGAGTCAGCTTCTGCTCATGTTATTTCGTAACATGAACTTAGCTCCCAAGAAATAATTTCCTCTTAAATTGTTCTGGTTTGTTGTATTCCTTTCGTAAGTCACCATTAAGAAACACTAGTTCAGAATAATCATGAATTTTTTTTTGAACAAATAAATCAATCTGGCCAGGCCTATTTGGTTAATCTTTCATGAATAATGAATAAAGCCTCAAAAACATATAAAATCTTGGAGTTCCCTGGTGGCGCAGTGGTTAAGAATCCGCCTCCCAATGCAGGGGACATGGGTTCGAGCCCTGGTCTGGGAAGATCCCACATGCCGCGGAGCAACTAAGCCCGTGAGCCACAACTACTGAGGCTGCACTCTAGAGCCTGCGAGCCACACTACTGAAGCCCGTGCTCCACAAGAGAAGCCACCGCAATGAGAAGCCCGCGCACCGCAACCAAGAGTAGCCCCCACTCGCCAAGTAGCCCCCGCTTGCTGCAACTAGAGAAAAGTCCACGCGCAGCAATGAAGACCCAACGCAGCCAAAAATAAATAAATTTATTTTAAAACCCCCCAAAAAACCTATAAAATCTTACAAGGATACAGATTCCCTTCCCGGTTGCTAAAAAAGGTTTTAGAACTGAGTCAGAAAGGCTACTGAGCTGGCTCTATAATGTCTTTTTGAAGAACTTGTCCAGCTCTTCCCTTCCAGCCAGTCAAATGGTGATTTGATTCCCTAGATGAGAAACCTGCAGGCAAGATCTTTAGCTCCACCTACCACCTGAATTCTCACCTTCACGTTCTGATAGCTCCTGCAACTAGCTATTTTCCAAGTTATTAGGCATCTCTCTCCTTCTGTCTCTCCCCTGCCCCCTCCCCCAATCTCCCTCAAGATACCCTGTTCCACTCACTCCTTCCATACCTCTCCTTCTTCCTCTCCGTTTCTCTAGTGGTAGCATTTACTTTACACTTCCCTGTGAGGCATGAAGGTTTTGACCAGTCTCAGGGTTCCCATGGGAAGCAACTATGACAAAAACTAGTAAAATAACTTCACATGCTGCCCTAGCTAAGCCTTTCCCAGAGACTTAAGCATCAAACACTAACCATGCAGACAAGGGCAGTGCTCTCCTGTGAACGTTTGTGCTTAGGGATTTTATCAGAATAGTTCTTTTTCCTCTGGTAACTGAACTCGTATTATTTTCAACTTGTAAGAAGGTCTGAGGTATGATAGTAAATCCAGCTCTTAATTTTCAAAAGTAGGTGGCTTTAGAGACCAGGGCATAAACAACATTCCTGCATTTGTTAAAAAGTATGTTCTGTATTTAAATTAGATTTCCACCTACTCAGCCCTCAAACTCCTTTGCAATGATTCTACAACCTTGACTTCGGTTAATTAATACATCCATGACACCACCCTATAAAGGTACAAATAAAGAACCTTTACTTAATGTGGAAATAAAGAGAACAAATTTTATATACAGATACACATACCTCCCTTCATATTTAAAGAATAAGAAGGAGTGTACATTCGCAAATGTAGTACCAATGAAAATCATTTGCTCTAGAAAATTTCCCTAAGCTTTTCAATTTAAAGATGGCACCATTTAACATTTGAACTAAATGCATTAACATAATTTTACCAGTGACAGACTTTCGCTAGGTAAAAGAATCACAGACTTGTAGAGATATAAGGAACATCGAATCACTAAGCAAACTCTTACATTTTAAAAATGAGAAAACTCCCAAGTTAAGTGACTGCCAAAGTCCCACAGCTGACTAACGACAGGCAAGGGTCTTTGCTCCTGACACCTAGTTCACCACAGCTGAAATTCTTATAGGTGAAAAATACTTCATTTGTTGATATCAATACCAAAGGCAACAAAAATCAGAACTACTCTTACCTTATATATGGTTGACATTACACAGAAACTCTGTTTCAACTTTTAGTATTTTATACCATAAATTCTTAACTTTTGACTCACCCTGCTGAGTTGATCCAATAACCTTTGGTTCTGTTCTGATAATTCCTGGACAGCCCGTGTTTTTTCTCGATCTGCTTCCCGTAGATGAACCTGCTGCCTCTCCAACTCATCCTGAAGCTGTTTCACATCACTCTCCAGCTCGGACACACGCCCTTCCCACTCCCCTTCTCGGTTCTCAAATCGTCTTCTTAGTTCGTGTTTCTCTTGCTCTAAGTGCTGGGTGAAAAATGAAGAGGATTTTAAAACCATTAAAAATTCCAGGGACTTCCCTGGTGGCCCAGTGGCTAAGACTCTGCGTTCCCAATGCAGGGGGCCCAGGTTCAGTCCCTGGTCAGGCAACAACACCCCACATGCCGCAACTAAGATCCCACATACGGCACCGAAGACCTGGTGCAGCCAAATAAATAAATAAATATTAAAAAAAAAAAATCCAGATCCTTTCATTTTTTTCTTTTCACACTCTTCTAACTTTTCTTTTTCCTAGTCAGTCAGCACAACAAAACACTCTGCCACGTAGGAGAAGTTGCCCATTACACAGCTGCAAAAATATTCCCTTCTTCCAGAGTAGGGAAGGCTGATTTCACAAACAGAATGCCATTCATACTGATAATACTTAATGTTTACTCTTATCCTTAGGAATGGGGGTTCTAGACTTAGGAACTCACTTGAAATTTAGTAAATCATCCGTTAATTGGTGAAATATACATTTAAACAACTTAAAATGAGTCCTTAAGAAAATTTCTTTTGCTGTCATCTATTATGCCTGGCATAATAGCAGGCACTTAGAATCACAGAATTTTCAGAGCTAGAAAGAACTCCAGAGATGCTTCAGATTAACCACCTTTTCTTACAAATGAAGCAGCAGAAGATAAGAGATTCAATAACAAGCTCAAGGGAGAGCTGGGATTTGTGTCTTAGTCACTTGACTTTGTTTAATGCTCTAAATCACAACTCAATATTTCCTGCTATATATAGCATTGTATTTCAAAATCATTAAGGCAAGTTCAGATTCAGGCCCACTTTATTAAATCATGACTTATTAGCCTTGCATATTTATTTCCGATCTTTTCATTCATTCTTGAGCGCCTGTTACAGGCTAGCCACTGACATAATGGTCCTTACCTTTATGGAGTTTCCATTCTAGTGGGAGAGGTTGATAAAAGTATTAAATTGTACAGCGTGACAAATGGTATGCAGGAAAAGTACAGATGGTTTGAAGTAGCAGCTCGACAGAAAAGAACTCTTTTGGATTGAAGGAAATAAGAACATCTTTTTATTTCTGTGAGATAAATACAAATTTGTCTTTTCAGAGGAAAGTATGTTCTCCTACTTAAAAAGCCTAGTATGTACAAAAAAGCCAAGCTATACCTCAGGGAATATATGAAATGTAAAGCAATGGTCCTCAACTTTTGTTGCTGTCAGAAAATCTCTGGTATAATTGTTCAAAATATATCCACCTAAATACTAATTCCAAAGATATGATTCAGTTAAGAATGGGACGAGGCCTAGGCAGGCATCTATCTATCTATCTAACTATCTAGGTTCTATTGGAAATTCTGATGCACTGAAGGTTGATATCAAGCACTGAGATTGTCTCAAAAAGCTAAGATGAGCATTTGAATCGTCACCTTCAGAGTACTCAAACATCTTTTCACCTTGGGAACCTACACTCTTATTCTACCCAAGTTCTCATCTTTCGAATGTTTTTTGGAATGCCTCTTTTGGAAAGCTCTAAGGGCCAGTGCATAGTTATACAAGAATATCAGTCCCATTACTTCACATCTGAGATGTGTCTAAAAAGAGATTATCTCATTTCATCTTGCCATTTTATTCCCCTAATTTGCTCTGAGTGACTTGTAAATGTTTCGGAAAGTCTAATTTACCCCCAAAAGATGCAAATTTACCATGACAGAGCAGTCAGAAAAATTAAAATTCTGAGAACATCAGCAAAGGCAGTTTTCACTGAAATAAGTGTATAGCCTCCAAAGTTGACCACTTCAAGGGAGTAATTAATTTTGATATAGCCACTCTGGTATATTTGTTGAAAAAGTCACATTATAGTTATACTTTATACAGCCTCAGTTTTGAGCACAGGGGAAAAGAAATGACAAGAGAGGGACTTGTACTCCTCAGCATGAAAATTTTCTGCTCTACGCTTCCCTCACTTTGCTAAACTTCCAAAAATGAGAATGTTTTAGTCACTATACAAATTTCAGAAAGATGAAATGCAGAAGTAAATGGTAATTACCAGCCTAAAACTGTGATACTTGGTTTTATTGAGTTTTTCCAAAATGGAAAAGATTGAGCAGAAGGAAACAGCAAGAACTCAGTAATCACAGTGTTACTGAGAGGCCAGATAAATTAGGTTTGTGTTCTAAAAGAACAGAGAGACTTAAAAATATTCAGCAAACAGCTGTTAGTGAACAGCCCAACCAAGCAACTAAAACAATCTAATCCACTTGCGGGGGGTGGGGCAGGGTTGAGGACAGGTGGTGCTGATCAGTCTATTTTGTCCTTACATTTCTTTGCACAAGTGACAAACTTCCTACTTCAGGTTTCCCAATACTTTAATTAAAAAAATCAAGACTTTCCTATTAATGAACATACAGAATTTAGCCTTTTGTCTACTCTGAGAAAAGAAAGGTTTCTCCTAGAATTATACTTTCAATTAAGTGCTAAATTAACCAGTAAACTCTAGGCAGAGTATCAGCAAGTGTGGAGGTCAGGCTCTGCCCATGCTATTCCCTGCTTCTTGGGGTTATATGGTATTTTAAAAGGTAATATCTACAGCTGAAACTAATATAATGATGTATGTCAATTATACCTCAATAAAAAAAGAAAAAAGTTAATGTCAAAACTATCAAGGTCATCAAAAACAAGGAAAGTCTAAAAGTGTTACAGGAAAGAGGAGACTAAGAAGATACACAAACTAAATACAAGGTGGTATCCTGGAACAGAAAAAGACATTTGGCAAAGGCTAAAGAAATCTGAATAAACTAAGGATATTAGCTAACAATAATGTATTAGTATCGGTTCATTAATTATGGCAAGTATACCATGCTAATGTAAGATGTTAATAATAGAGGAACTGGGGGCAGGGCATATGGAAACTCTCTGCTGTGCCATCTTTCCAATATTTCTGTAAATCTAAAACCATTCTAAAAAACAATTTATTTAAAACTCTGAAAAAACAAAAGTTAATATCATTAGCCCACCTAAAATTGGTTGTTACAGAAATGGATTTCTGCAAAGAACCAAAAAAGCAGTGCTATTCTCCCAGGTCCAGGATATGGTTCTTAAAAAATACAAAGAAAAATACTATTTTTTAAGTGGACCAAGCACTGAATGCAAATAAGGACCCCTGCGTTTGCTTACCTAAATGTACTACCCAATTATGAATCATTTTCCCCTTACTTGTTTTGCTTCTTAAAAAAGAAAACAGTGCTAGAATCATTAGAATTGGCCTAGGGAAGGGGGAAGAAAATGTAATTGAGGAAAGAGATTACCTCTGCAGTAAGAGATAATTCACTCTCAGCTAGAATGGGAAAAAAGGGAATCCTGGACTTTAAAAACATATATATATATATATATATAAAGTCTGGTTGCAGAAGGTCTTTTTTGCCGTATGCGGGCCTCTCACTGTTGTGGCCTCTCCTGTTGCGGAGCACAGGCTCCGGACGCGCAGGCTCAGCGGCCATGGCTCACAGGCCCAGCCACTCCGCGGCATGTGGGATCTTCCTGGACCGGGGCACGAACCCGTGTCCCCTGCATCTGCAGGCGGACTCTCAACCACTGCACCACCAGGGAAGCCCTAAAAACATTTTTAAAAAACTAAACAACGATTTAATCTCTGAAGAAAAAAGTGTATAAACCCAAGTTACTGTCTTAGTTCATATTCTGGGGGAAAAAAAAGAAACTACTAAGGACCTGGCTGGATATGTTTTAAAAGCAAAAGGGCTAACTGTAGATGCAGAAGAAATAAAATATCTAAAGGCATTAAAAAAAAAAAATTAAGCATATGAGGGGCTTCCCTGGTGGCGCAGTAGTTAAGAATCCACCTGCCAATGCAGGCAACATGGGTTCGATCCCTGGTCCGGGAGGATCCCACATGCCACGAAGCAACGAAGCCCGTGCGCCACAACTACTGAGCCTGTGCTCTAGAGCCCGCGAGCCACAACTAGCTCGTGCTCTGCAACAAGAGAAGCCACTGCAATGAGAAGCCTGCGCACCACAATGAAGAGTAGCCCCCGCTCACTGCAACTAGAGAAAGCATGAGCACGGCAACGAAATAAAGGATGCAGCCAAAAATAAACAAATAAATAAATTTATATTAAAAAATTAAGCATGTGAAAATCTAATTCAGGGAATGGATAAAATACAGGATAGTCAATTTAAGGGTGGAAAAAAAATGACCAAAACCTTACAATCTCTCAAATTAAATTGAATCTTCATTCATCTTTAAGAGATGCCTAACTAAAAAACTTCTATGTTAACCTTTAAAGACTTTAAAGAGTGCGCCTTTAATGAGAGAGCAGTGTAAGATCAAGTACTTTACGTTTTAAATGACAAAACACAATCTTGGGTTTGGCGCACAGAACTGGAGAGGTATTCAATAATAGCTAATGAATAAGTAGAAAAGATCTTGAAAATGACTTGGTTCTGAAATTAGAAAGGTGCCAATTTTGAAGTAGTAAGTAAGCAGATGGGACAAAAACAAAACCAGTCTCATTATTTAATAGTCAAACCAACATTCTCTCAGAGTCCTCTCGTGTTTATCTTTCAAACTAACCCATGAGAAAATGTGTTTGACTCCACTGTCTGATAGTTTGTAGAAAATTACAAATGGTTTTTAAAGTAATGGCTGGCTCTCTACTCCTAAATGTTGAATTTAATTGAAAATCTAGCAGAGTGGTTGTATTAAACTTTAGAAAGAATTTGTTCAAGCAGACATTCTAAAATCTAAGCTGCTTAAAAAATATACTTACAGGTGTAATTTGCAAGGGAAAACTCACTTGCAGGTATCAAATGAAATAGTCCCCTGTTATAATGAGATTTGTCACTCTCATATTAATACTAAAAGAATTAACAAGAAACTAACGACAATACCTTGATAATTTTAAGTGTATTTTTTTAAAAAAAAACTTTTAATGATAATTTTCAGATATACCTAGAAGGAACTGTATAACTGAACCCCTTCATCACTCAGTAATATTGATTAGTGATCAATATTTCACTTTTTAAAAGTTATTTTTCAAATTGTGGTAAGGCATACATAACATAGAATTTACCATATTAACCATTTTTAAGTGTACTGTTGGTTTAGTAGTGCTAAGTACATTCATACTGTTGTGCAACCAACTTCCAGAAATTAAAAATAAACTTTTAACACTAGAGTTCATATGCTGACCTGAGAGGAATGAAGATTTTTTTAAAAGTTTAATAAGAGTTTTAAACTATTTTATTACTGTCTATCAAGTCAACAGCAAAAAGTCAAATGTAATTTATTCTTTTACAATAGAACCTTTCTTGTTACAGAATTTGAATATCTTTTTCCTTTGCTGAAGACATGTATAAAGGTTCCAAATGGAAACCAGGATGTGTATAACTGCACACTCAGGATTACCCTGAAATCTATCACTAATCAAACTGACTGATATGATGTTCCTTTCAAGTTAGCTGTCTCTTTAATCAAGTCCCTCACTGAAGGAATTTCAAATCACAAGCATAAATCTCTGCAGTAGTACTTGTATATAGAGCCTGTAATCAAATCTCTTAAAAAAAAAAAGACACCCTTTTATTCCTAGACCTCTACTTCAAGTGAAAATTAAACAATTCAATTCACTGGGCTGCTTTTTGGCAGTCTACCTATAGGTTTCACAAACCACTTTTCAGAGAGGTATCTCAGGAGTTCATCGACTGGCAGACCTAGTTAAGAGGCCAACTGAACTACAGGGTTACAGTGGTTTCCTTTTTTTCTTCCCTGATTTACTTTTGATATGTCGTTGGAATACAGACACACTTCTTATTATAGAAAAGTTTCTGAATCTACATTCTGACTGTCTGACCCGCAGCAGTGATATGGACCTCATTCAGGGCTGTACTATTCTCTTCTAACTAAGAATAAAAAGAACTGGTTGCAACCAAACTGGGTAACAACAGTAAATGCACAGGCAGAAAAGGATAAGCTCATCCCCACTGCCATGATGCACCTCCCCTATCCCCACTTTAAAAAAAAAAATCTAATTTTTATAAATGGTGGCAACCTGTACCACTTTCAAGGCCCTTTTCTAGTTAAGGTCAAGAAAACAAACAGGCATAGCTGCAAAAGACTTTGGTCCAGAGAAGTGGCAGAAATCTTAGACACTTTAAGGGGTATTTATAACAATGGTTAAAGTTGTATGGTTCTCACAGGTTGCATTTGGCGAACCAACTGCATGTGTGAGACCCAGAACAGAAACAGAAAAGTACTGTTTAAATACATATAAATACTGAGGTCCAAATCAAATCCACAACCAGTGGTCACATGCAGAGCGCAGGCTCACCTGATTTCTGCAATGGAACCATACTTCCTAATCCTTAACTATTTGAAGGCTATATAAAGCTCCTTTAGGGGCACTTGTTTCCCACAACTCTGAGCTGCCGGGAAGTTAAGACAAGGGCATCTGGAGGCCTTAACTCCAAAGCTGAAACGCTTTAGGCTAACACCCTGATTAGCGATTAACTACTTCTCTGAAAACATGGAGCATATTTTAAATGCTTCGCGACTTTCTAGTTTCTCTGTGTGTGGACATCACCTCAGTGCTGTATAAATAAATGTCATACTGTAAACTCTATTTTAGATGCTGTGTATAGTACGTATACAGAACGGCCCACAGTGTTTGGAGCCGTGCATAGACCCGTTTGCTGTGAGTAGGGTGGGAAAGCCAGGTGGGTTCAATGAATGCCCTCGTCTGATAATCCAAAACCCTCCATGCTGCCCCGCTTCCAGGTGGTTTTCTGTGAGGGAGGATGAGCAAGAAAGGTGGGATGGGGTGGGGTGGGTGAGTGGCTCCCGAAGCTACCGAGGGCCGGCAGGCGGGTGCCTGGGCTCCCCCCCACCCCCCGCTTCCCACCCATCCCAGGAGGGACGTCCTCACCTCCAGCTTATCTGTCAGCTCCTTGTGCATCTGCTCATACTGCCGGCTCATGTCCTGGTTCCTCTCGAGCAGTGCCTTGCCCAGTCGGGCCGCCAAGACCAGATCCTTCTCCTTCTGCCGGATCACCGACAGCAACTCGGGATCCTGGGCGGGCGGCGGCTGCAGTTCGGCCCCCTCGGCTGGAGGCCCGGGCTCGGCCTGAGGATGCTCTCCGGGGTCGGACGGCCGTTCCCCGGCCGCCAGCAGCGCCAGCTCCTCCTCTAACGCCAGTTCCAGCTCCCCGGGGCCCCCGGGGAAGGAGACAAGGGCGGCGGCGGCGGCGGCTGCGGCTGGATTCCCGACTGCGTCCGCGGCCGCGGCGAGCAGCTCCATGCAGCAGGCGCTGTCCGGCTCTGCGGGTGCTGAAGCGCGGCCAGCCAAGCCCAGGCAAAAGGCGGACATGGCCCGCGCGCGCGGAGCCCGCAGCGGTGCGGCCCGGCCGGCGCGCGCCAGGCTGCAAGGGGGAGGGGCCCCGTCGCACCGCCCCGCGCCTCTCCTCACGCCGCGGCACGCGCCCCCCGGGTCTCCGAGAGCCCTGGGCGCGGCGCGCGCCGCCCCGCCCCTCCCCCGCGCCGGCGGCACGCGCCCCCTTCCCCCGCCCCCGGGCTCCGCTGCTCCGCGAGCGCTGGGGAGGAGGACGGGGTGGCAAAGGGAAGGCTGAGAAAGCGAAGACTGAGGGGAGGCGAAGCGGGAGGGGCGGTTGCGAGGAGGAACGCCGCCGCCGGCTTTTCAACCACCCTGTTGCTGCTGCTCCCGCTGCCGCCGCTGGCCGGGCAGCGCCTCACGGGGCGGGCGGTGCTCCGCTGTCGCTGCGACGCTCGCTGCTGCTGCTGCCGGTGGCCGCTCTCTGCAGCCGCGCTCCATGTCCCTCGGCTCGGCGGCAGCCCCAGCAGCAGCGGCGGCGACAGCGGCTGCTGCAGGGGCCGAGGCGGCGGCTCCACATCGCGCGCCGCGCAGCCTAGCGAGCTCCTTCCGGACTGCCTCAGCTCCTCCAGTTCACCCGGACGGCCGCACCCCACCCGCGGCTTCCGGCCGCGCCCCCTCTCCCCGCCCCTTGCCGGCGCCTGACGCGCACGGGCACCTGTTCGCCGCGCCAGCGCGCGATTCGCCGGCTCGTGGGTCTCCTCAGCGGCGCCCAGGTGGCGCCGACGGCCTTAACCCCTGCGCTGCCTCACGCCCGGCAGCGGCTGCGCGCGCCGCCCGTGGAGACAGCTGGCGCATGCTTAACTGTCCGGGCGGCTCCCCGACGCGGCCACGCCCCCGGCCTCACGTCCACCGGGTGTGGCTCCGCCCCCAGCACGCTCACCTCGGGGTGTGGCCTCGCGCGCACCTCCGAGCACGGCCTTACCCCTAGCCTTGTTCTCACCTTAGGGGATGGCCCCACCCCCGGCCTCACTCCCGCTTCTGGGCTGGAGCGTTTCTCTGGGTCCAATGGGTCTCAGCCTTAGGTGATTACCAAGGGGACTGAGGACATTTCTCCAAGACGGGTGGCCAAGCCCGACAGACACTCGCAGCCACGGCTTGTGGGTCTGAGCCCCCGTGAGAGCTAAGCAGTCAAGAGAGGGAGCCCTGGAGAGCAGTAGGAGGGATGACTTCAGAAACCCAGCATCTCAATGATGATGACTCAGGGATATAAGGGACCAGATGCCTCAGAGATCAGCAGCCCCGAAAGAAAGGGGTTATGTTGAGAAACAACGGAAAAAACTGCTCACAGATGGAAATACGAAGCAAGGACGCTCCATGATAACTTCCGTTTATTAGGCGCTTAGTATGTGCCATGTCTTGTGTTAGGTGCTTTATACGCATTATTTTAGATAATCCTCTCAAGAATCTTAAAAGTCAGTACTATCACTCTTCTCATTTTACAGAGAAGGAAATTGAGGCCTTGAGAAATACAGGATCAGATCCAGACAGGCTGACTCCAGGGTTCACATATATATCGTTATTCTTTACTTTCCTCACATATAAGTGTTGAGGAAGGTAAATAGTAATTTGTGATCAAGATGGCCTGTGTCGATATCCAAGGTGCTATCAGGAAAGCTTACTGCAATGATGAAACCAAGGACTGAAGAACCTACTGGGTGATTCCAGTCAGTTCTTGCTTTGACCTCATGGGTAATGCTCTGTCTTCTATTTTCAGAAACAATCCCATCTGAAGCTAGAATTGGTCACTATTCCCTTTCCTCTTGGACAACAACCCATTTTTGAGTTAGATCATATTTTGATTCTTTTCATTACAGTAAGATGGAATATTTCAGGACACTGAGCGGCTGAAATGAGTCAAATGGTTTCTCATGGCTTTTTGTCCATATTAAATTCAGAGCCTAAACAATACTCAGGTATATACATCACCTTCTACCCTCAGGCTGAAGGTCAGAATCCTAAAGGTCCTGAGCCTCAGGGCTGACTTTGTTCTCTTGTTGACTGAAAAGGAGACAGACCATAGAGGGGTTCCCACATCAATCTTTGAGCTAAATTTTGAAAGTTGACCATGGTACCATTCCAACAATGCATTGTTCTCACACTTTTTATTATGCCCTCTTGAGCAGGAATTGTGGGCCCATGGTGAGACCCAACTGAAGAATCCCTTTTGTCTTTTTTGATCAGGAAAGGAGAAGTTACTCCTACAAATAGATTAGGGACACACATATCAAGAGCAAACAGAATTCCTAATTCAAAGTCATTTGTTTCAGCTATTTATTTTTCCTGATGCAGACTTGCAGCCTGTCTTTCCCTAAAGGTCTTTTTCTTGCCTTCCTTAAAATCGATGGTCCTACTCTATTAGACTTGCCTGTTACTGTGAGAATGAACTATTACAATGCTAACTCTAATTTCTGAGGATCCTTCTTCACAATGTTCCCCTGCCTAACCGGACTAGGAAGTGATCATTTTCTACTACAGGTTTGGCCCTAAGTACTATCTTCTTGTGAATAGTCAAAGGAGACCAGCCCAAGTCTGGAGAACTATTTAGAATAGTGGTTCTTATACTTTTTGGTCTCAGAACCTCTTTACACTCTTAAAAATCATCAAAGATATCAAAAAACTTTATATAGGTTTAGATATTGACTGTATTAAAAATTAAAACAGAAAAATTTTTATTTTAAATACTTAAAATAAACCTGTTAAATCTTAACATAATGTATTTAATGAAAAATATATATTCCCCTCCAAAGAAAATGAGCAAGAAGAAAGGCATTGTTTTTCATTTTTGTAAATCTCTAATGTTTGGCTTAACAGTAGAAAATGGACTTTTATATCTGCCTCTCCATTCAATGTGGTGATGTTTTGTTTTGGTTGAAATATATGGAGAGAATCTGGTCTCACAAAGATGCAATTGGGAAAAGGAGGAATATTTTAATAGCCTTTTCTGATCGTTGAAGGTATTTTTCTTTGATAATACACCAAAACTCAGCAAGTGATAGCTTCTTAAAGGTTAGTTGCAAGGTGGAATCTAAAACCACATCAAGGAAATCCACTGATCTACCTTTCACTTTGAATGGATCTTTTACCCATGTGTGATTGATTCTTTAAAAGTATGTATCAGTCATTGGGAAAATATTGGTTCACTGAGTTACGCAGATCTTCCAAATATTGTCACGTGTCATTATACTATATATATTTTAAAATACCGTTCATTAATATAACCACTGATCTCATCAGAAAGGTCTTTATGTATTGGCAAGCTATCAAGCTCACTGAGGTGTGTATGAGTTTTCCAAAATTCTTATTTCTACTGGAAAGCTCCAGTTTTATCATTGGTAACCATAGTGTCTATTGTTTTCCTTGAAGTGACAGACTTGGTACATTCTTTTTTTTTTAATCCAAGATGTGTTTATTGGGATGGTTTCCCATTCATTTTGTTTCAGGATGCTTTTAGTGCTGCTTCTGTCTAAAGGAGCATCCTTCTGTAAGCCTTACTATTCCTCCTGTAGGCTGGCAGAGGACAGTAAAGCAGCCAACACAAAAAACTACTGTTTGTGCATGGCTAAAGATGGTTGTGATTTTATAGCATCCTGGGTATTTCACATCCATGAAATAGGAATTGGGGCTTTGCACCAGGTGCTTCTTCTTGTGTTTCCTCTTCTCCTCTGGAGAGGGATGAAGGGGATCCTTTGCGAGAGGCACGTTCTCGTGGGGAGGTTGTCACTGCCAGAAAGGGTGGTACATTCATTTTTGAGTAAATATCTGCCAAATACCCAAATCTGAATACCAAAGTCTGTCTGTCATTCGTTCAAGTAAAAACGGTGTTCCATGAAAAACGTGACTAGTTCAACTCCTAATTCAAATGATGGTACAAGGGCTTTATCTCAAGACAACAACATACTTAGGTATGCAGCAGAAGTGCTTTATCGGTACTTTCCATTTCATCACATGGAATATTAAAAAGATGTGTACTCAAGCATTGGGATTTAATAAAAGTACTGCTTCATCAGGCACATTTTTAAATGAAATTAGCTTTTTTCTTCTTCTTCTTGTGAGCACATAGTAGTGAAGAATAACTCGCTTTGGTACCACTGTCATGAATCATGCTAAGGTATCAGTAGAGTTACTTACCCACTATTCCTTTTGCATTACCAATGCCAATGTCAACACAGTGAAAAACAAAAATAGTATTAGACAATTAGTATTATGTCTACTAACATGAAATTATGAAATAAAATATGAGATTATGAAATTAGTTTTACTTTTATTAATAAAATTAGAATTACTATCATTGCAATTATTATGAAAACAGTGCTTCCTTCCTTGACCCTCTGAAAGGCTCTTTGGGACCTCAGGAGTTAATGAACCACACTTCGAAAATTGCTGATTTAAAGCCATTCAAGACAGGTCAACCCTAAGCTAAGAAGAATGAACAAGTACCTCCCCACATGGAAACTGGTGGCAGGATTCAAAACTCATCAAAGCAAAGATATAAAAACCCTTGGACTTCTAAGAAGCTTATTATTTAGTTTATTCTGCTTCATACTATAATAATAGTGGCTAGAATATATTTAGCATTTAATTCCTTAAATCCTTTATGACATCTCATTTAATCCCCACAATGACCCTATAATGCCGGTATATAACACTAGTATATACTAGGACGTGATACTATGATGCTGTCTAACTCTAAAGTGTTTGCTCTTACTAAGCCTCACATTTTCATCATTTTTATATTCCTTTATAATACATTTGCTTCAGTGTTGCTTTTGGTACCTGGATATTTTGGTGAACTTAGGTATGACCCATCTTAACATGCAATGGATGGATTTCCACATAAGTGCTGTCACATCACTAAGAGTAAAGCATGAAATTTTTTATTTTTTAGAAACCCTGATATTTCCAAATATAATAACACTCATCGAATTTCCTCAAATTGTTTATTTTTATTAGCATCCTGATCTGCAAAAACTGGAAAGTGTAAAAGACAAAACATATTACAGAAAATTTGTTTTTGAAAATTTAAGTGTGGAAGAAACATGAGGAGCTGGCAAAACGTGATAAAGCAGTTCTACACTTGGTATTTTCATTCAGCAATTTTAAGTGTGTGTGCATTTTTTTAAGTTTTATATTTTACTTATGAACTAGTCGTGGGAACATAAAAGTCTCAAAAATTCCTAAAATGTTACCCAAAAGCTTTTTATATTTTTTGGAGATGAATTGACTCAACATTTTGCAAAGTGTGGTGTGTGTACCTCTACTGATTCTCAACTTGATTTTTAAGGGAAAAACATTAACTTCAGTGGCTGATGCTCAGTAGTGTCAGTCTTTAGCAGATACCCTGCCTTGCCTGGTGTAGGCGTGTGCTTTCTCTGCTACCCATCACGGTGCCCCAGCATGCCCTGCTGGGACTCCTTCCCAGCCCCTCCCATCTCTAGGTTCTCACCTTGGCAGCCCCTCCCACCTTTCCCTTCGTCCTCTCAGGGTCCCCTCAACCCCACCCCACACTCCCTTTTCCCTTTTACTTTTAGGTTGTTATTAAGATAAAAAGGTTTCATGTATGTACAGCACTTAAAATAGTGCCTGGCACATGGTAGGC